GATGGATTTCTACGGCACCCCCTTTTTGGCCGTTTTCAAAGAATTTCACGTTTCTTTTCATTTATTTCGAAAAATTCACTTGAACAAAAAGCTTTTTTTTTGTTTTTATACATGAGTGTACAAGTTTCAGAGTGATCCGTCTGTAAATAGCAGAGATAAATTTTAGGGCTGACGCTCCCCTTAAGGGGAGGGGGGTCTACCCTAAAATTTTCTTATTTGGCATTTTCGGTTTTAGTCTCATCTTAAAGCTGACATTCTGTCCTATCCAACGGTACCACTGCCATCTCTGTACGTTGATTTATGATTTCAGGACATTTCATGAAAGGGGGGCGGGTGTTAGAGTTCTTTAAGTAATTGGATAGGAAATAATTAGCTGCTGAGCTCTTTAAATATAGTGTCTACTTAAGTTGTGCTGCAGTTACGTGTTTAGTCTCATCTTAAAGCTGACATTCTGGCCTATCCAACGGTACCACTACCATCTCTGTATGTTGATTTTAACGTACACGACACTTCATGAAAGGGGGGCGGGGGGTGAGTTCTTTCAGTAATTACATAAGAACTAATTCGCTGCCGCAGCACTATAAATGCAGTGTTTTTGCGAGGTCTGATTCAGTGTGCCTCCGGGTTTTGTAGGGACAGGTGCGCATGTAGTCGCTCCCACCATCCTTGAGTGGAATCAAGCTCCAGAAACGTTTAGTTTGGTATCTATGCTACATTGAGCGCATTTTGTCACTTTTTGTGGTCCGCGCGGGACTTTGTCACGCTCTCCTCAACATTCACACTTATTGTCACGGAAAACCTATCTCCTCCTAGAGTTTTGAAGCTACAGCGATGAGACATATACCATTCGATTCGTAAAGACCATACCTATCGAGTAACGAAGCCCATTTTTAGCGCATTTTCTCATTTATGGAAAAAATGCACTATTGTGCTCGCCATGTCCGTCTGTCTGTCTGTCCGTCCGTCTGTCCGTCCGTGACCTCTCAAGTTTTCGTCGACGAGAAAATGCGCTCTCTCACTCACTGCAGTGAGTATCGAGTTATATTTTTTAGATTTGTGCATAGTTTGGATTCAAAATGGGGGGAGGGGGGAAATATTGAAGAAAATTAGAAGAAAATGAGAAAAAACGGGAAAATGCGTATAAAAAATTAAGGCAAAAATAAAAAATCGGGCTTCGTTACTCGATTGGTATGGTCTTTACGAATGGAATGGTATATGTCTCATTGTTGTAGCTTGAAAACCCTAGGTGGAGATAGATTTCTACAGTACCCCCTTTTTTGTCGATTTTCTATGAATTTCACGTTTTCTATTAATTTTTTGGAAAAATCATACGAACAAAATGTGTTTTTTTTTTTGGTTTACATACATGGTGTAATTTTCAGAAAGATCCGTTAGTCAATGTAGAAGTTTTTCTGGAGGGTAGACCCCCCCCCCTAACGAATCGGGAGGTAGAATTTTAATAATGAATCTGGCCAGTATATACCCGTATTATTCGAACTGAATTTTGTTTTGAGTATCGAAGATGTCGTAGACAGATATCTCATTATATAGCGCATGCACGACTATATGCTGAAAATAGTGTTTTAAAATTACATTGAGCAGTACGTGAACATACACATAAAGGCTGTAAAAAAAACAATGGCGTCTTTGAACGAATGGTTCAATGGCATTTACTCATATAACCCATGGAAGTTACGGTTACCGACGGGTATCTTCAATTAGTTGAGAAATATGCACATTGACGAATGTATCTATTGACAAATGCTTCGTAGGCGAAAAGATGTTTTAATTGATGAATATATGCATTGACAATTAAAGCTTAAATTGCCGTTTACCAGAGCTTTAATGACGAACTAGACGTTTTATTGATGCGAACTGTAGTAACATTTTTTTCAAGTTCAAACGGTCATTTTTAATGATTATATGAACCCGTATTATATTAAGCCATTATATAAGTCCATATTTAAATACTCATCGACGCTATAATGTGTAACTAAATGCGTAAGCGATTATGACGTGCAATCGAGTAAAATTTTTTTTACATTTGACGTCTAAAATAACGATTCACATTGCATAATGATTTCCTGTTACCATACTCGTTTGAGATTTGATTAATATGTTATTTCGTCACGATTATGAAGAACTTCTGCCCTTCAACCGTTAAATCTTCAACATTCAATAGGAGACGAATTGGGCTAAAATACTGTTGAATTTAAGGAATTCAGAGATCGAGTATCTAAGACTCGTCTAAATGCCCTATATACAATTGGTGCATTTTAATATAAAAGGTGAATATTCTGAGTTGAATATAAGTGTATCTATGATTTTGATGAGTGCGCTAAGTTATAAATTAACTTTTCTAACACTTGATCATGTCGTGCGAAATTTTCTATCCAGATAATTTCATAATACTTGAATTAATGCCGACCATTAATCTTGTTATTCACGTAAAGAATTCGACATCAATTCACCGACAATCTTCTTTTGCTTCCAGCACATAGAAATTAAATGACAATGCAAGCAGTATCTGCTGACCTTGCGCAAAGTCCGTTCGCAAGCACGTCCTAAGCAAAATGACTTCACGCTCAGCGATGGCAAATTAATGAAATCTTTAATGAGACATGCGCTCTAATTAAAGCACATAGCAGTAATACGGCTCTTACAGTTCATTCTTGATGAGACTTGCCAAATACAAGAGATATTGTAATATTATCAATACAGATGTGATTATTTTTAATCCCATGTCACTGAGATCATTCAAGTGGACGAACCGAAGTTTAAATTTTATAACTTTACTGTTATATTGCTCATGTCTACATTTTGCTACTTATTCGAACGATGTTTAATATTAATGCGATTTTGTTTGTTCAAATATATTGTATTTGGGTCGCCTGCCGAAGACCACAACTGCCCTGGATGTAATGGACCATCATGATTCCTGTCTTCCGGAACGTAGCCTTCAACACTTCTGGACAATCATATCTAGGCCGTGCGTCGAACCAGCCCTCGGTCGAACGGCCACTCGTCGAATGACGACAAATTTTGGAACAGAACTATGCTATCTGAAACCTAACCTCGAATGCGGTGAACGTAAAATTACGTAATTTAACTATGCCCGGAAGTGATATTCTATCTGCGGCCTGGTGGTGCACGGCAGGTTTTATGTAAGGCCGGAGCAGGACAAAGCCTAGTGGTTCACGGCTGATTGGTGGGGGTACGCAGCCGTGCACCACCAGATTTGTGCACCAATCAGCCCTGTAAGGAACGCTTAGCATATTTCCGGATGACAACCAATTAGCCGCGAATTAAGCTTGCCGTCAGTAACCAGCACATGACATCATCTTGTTTTAAATATTAGGAGCTTTACGCTACTATATTCTGAAACGAATAGCCCAGAGTGTGAAGGTTGTCCACCACTGAACGTTGCGTCAAATCGTTACTTCATACCCATACCCTGACTTTAGATCGAACTGTAACAAGCGGACAACGGACTGCGACCAACCAGCCCAGGTCGACCGTCGCCAGTGGGGGTCGCCTGCCGAAGACCACCACTGCCCTGGATGTAATGGACTATCATGATTCCTGCCTTCCGGAACGTAGCCTTCAACACTGCAAGCCGTCCATATCTAAGCCGTGGGTCGAACCAGCCCTCGGTCGAACGGCCACTCGTCGAAGGACGATAAATTTTGGAACAGAACTTTGCTATCTGAAACCTAACCTTAGATACGGTGAACGTAAAATTACGTAATTTAACGATGCCCGGGGCCGGAGGTCATATTCGATCCGCGGCCTGGCGGTGCACGGCAGGTTTTATGTCAGGCCGGAGGTGGACAAAGCCGAGTGGTTCACGGCTGAATGGTGGATGCCCGGAGAGATGTAAGTCGTTCGATTCAGGGCTTGTAACCGGGCTTGTTGGTGCACAAAATTGGTGGTGCACGGCTGCGCTCCCGCCAGTGGAACTGGAACTGCATGCATCATTGCATCCTGCTGTGCACCACCAGACGGTCACTTTTCGCTCACATCTGAGGTTAGGTTTCAGAAAGCATAGTTCTGTTCCAAAATCTATCGTCCTTCGACGAGCGACTTCGCAGTTTCGCTAAATTACGTAACTTTTAGCTAGGGTTAGGTTCCAGATAGCATAGTTCTGTTCGGGACGCCTGTCGGAGACCACCACTGCCGTGCTTCGAATGGACTATCATGATCCCTTCCCTGAAGAACGTAGCCTACAACACTTCTTGACTGTAACATTATCAGCCGCGCGCCACCAGACAGATAACATCCATTGAGTTAGATCAATCAGCCCACAGGAAAATAAGCCTGGCTCCGTATGACGTCTCGGACAAAAACGCGGCCTGTGTCACGGCCGGTCTCGCGGCCGCGCTCCAGATTCAGTGTACATCGAATATCTCCCAAAGTACTGAACGTAGCTCAATGAAGCTTGGTACACGTATTCATTATGGCCTGACGATGATGTCAAGCTCGTGACAATTTTTTGAATTTCGCCTTCATTCGTGAGTTATATGACGAAACGTGCCGAAATTTACAGTGTACACGAGATTTCTTCTAAAATACTGAACAGATTCGAATGAAATTTTAAATATAAATTCCTGAATACTCAACGGTGATGTTTAGCTCGTGAGAATTTTTTGTATTTTGCCTTCGTTCGCGAGTATTTTTATCTTTTTCCTAATTCCTGATTCAAACAGCAAAACGTTCTTAAATTCGCAGTGTACACGAGATTTCTTCTAAAATACTGAACAGATTCGAATGAAATTTTGAATATGAATTTGAAAATATCCAACGGTGATGTTTAGCTCGTGTAAAAATTTACGATTTTGCCTTCGTTCATGAGTTATATGGCAATACAGGGAAACTTCTGACATTTAAACAACAAAGCGTGCTTAAATTCACAGTGTACACGAGATTTCTTCTAAAATACTGAACAGATTTGAATGAAATTTTAAATATGAATTTGAAAATATCCAACGGTTATGTTTAGCTCGTGTAAAAATTTTCGATTTTGCCTTCCTTCATGAGTTATATGGCTATACAGAGGAACTATTGACATTTCTGAGGCAGACCCAGTGTTCACGGTATATCTCCCAAATTTATGAACGGAACTCAATGGAACTTTACAAACGTATTCATTAGGACTTAACGGAGATGTTTAGCTCTTTAAATTATTAGATGGTTTTTATGCATATAATACTTATTTCTTCCTTTTCTTATGTAACGCCTCAACGGCACATTGAACTTTGTCCCATATCTGCACCAGCGATCGTTCTCTTTCGTCGCCCTGCTAGTATTCGTTTAACCGCGATGCGATTAATTTAAAGCTTTAAAAATCTTGACCGAATCTAATACGCTAATTTAGCCTAATATTAAAATTAAACAAGCCAGAAAAACTGCATCTCCTTCTCCACAACCTCACAAATTCCGTCCAATTCAACGCTCTTGGAGCTTGAGAGAAATGCCCTCAAGGCTCAACTGAAGAAGAATGGCAGAAACATGAACAGTTTCAGTTAGGTATCTCCAGGTGTGTTACCATGTCAGCTAATAATATAAATGCTGGAATACCTGTTGTTAAAATTTGTTGCTACATAACAAAATTTAAAAATAAAATATATATAATTTTGACTTCAAAATCTTGTAGGTACTTGATGGCTAATTCTGAAAAATTCTGTTCAGAGTTCTGACAACTGACAAGTGTGTGCAAAATCTTAAAAGATATATTTATTTCCCATTAGATTTATAATTTATATCACCATAGCTGTTCATCTATTATTTTTTTTGCAGATTCATTCTTTATTTGTCACTAGCTTAATTTTTGCCAAACTATTTATGGTACCTAGGTAGGCCTACAGTTCCTATACAAAATTGTTGGCAAAGTACAATTGATCAATCCTAAAAAATATTTTATAAGGTGTGATAACAGATATCTTCATGATTTAATTCAGAGTATAGACAAATTTCAAGTACCTACTTATTGTTCATCTCCATATATAGTCAGATGGGGTAAGACAGGACCGAAATCACTAACAAGCCCGTAGCATCTATACCATGAATAATTAAAAAATCCTAAACATATCACAAGGTGTATCTANTTGCTTCATCATCATGAACAAATGTGCCTATCATTTATCTGAGAGGAAAAGAACATACCTACAAGGCTACTCTCCACATTGAAATTGAAATGGTTCAGCATTTATTATTATTATTATTATTTTTTTTTTTTTTTGAGACAATTAATGGATACTGGAATTTGATTCAGGAGCCAAGTGCCCCAAAATCATTTGACTAGACAGTTGTAAACTTGTGTATTGCACACCTTAGATACCGTAAAATGGGGTAACTTTGACCACTTTCTTTTCAAAATGATGCCATTTTTTTACTAGATAAGTTAAACTTGAATTGAAACATGCAAAATGCAGGTCTATACTCTAGCTTTACTCACCATAAATTGCTGGCTCCTGCCTCTCATAGTTTTGATGTAACTTCTAAAAAAGTGATGGTCTTTGTTACCCCAGCTCTTGGGGTTTCTTGGACCGGGTGGTAAAATCAATTTTATTTTTTGGTAAAATAACTCTAAATAACTCCAGGTTGTGGTGAATTGTAGTAGAACTCTTCTAGTTACATATGCAAAAGACAAATTTTAGGAAAGTGTCATAGTTTGCAAATGGGGGGTGCCGCCCCCCCAATGGGCGAAATGTGACCACCTAATGGCAGCCGTGATGGGGTAACATTGACCGGTTTGTAAATTAAGTTAAAATTACCATATATAAGACTCTGTAGAGTCTGAAACATAGAGAAAATAACATTAATAGGTGTATCAAACATAAAATATGTTAAATAGGTACCTATGGTAATCTTAACTTAATTTTCAAGCCGGTCAATGTTACCCCATCACGGCTGCCTTTAGGTGGTCAAGTTCCCCCATTGGGGGGTGGTACCCCTGCCCCACATTTGCAAACTATGACACTTTCCTAAAATTTGTCTTTTGCATATGTAACTAGAAGAGTTCTACTACAATGCATCAAACCCTGGAGTTATTTTACCAAAAAATGAAAAAATTGGAGGGGGTACTCTGACAGGCTTTAAATAATAGCTCTTTTTTGTGGGTCACATTATTAGTTTTTTAACCTATTAGATATGCAAACTTTTTAAATCTTTCTATTGTGTTAGGTAGCCTCAGTATTAGGCCTTTGATGGCCATTGACAAAATTTTTCTATGTCAAATCGTTTTTGAGTTATGGGGGTTTTTGTTAAAAAAACGAAAAGTGGTCAAAGTTACCCCGCCGGTCAAAGTAACCCCATTTTATGGTACCACACAGAGCACAGAACTGTCACCCACAGTTATGATCATCAGAGAACTTATCTTCATCATTAATGTTTCCAATATTTTACTCCTGTTTTGTTTCTGTTAGTAAAGTAAAGCAGTGACCATCAGGATACTTGTGATAGTTGTATGAATTTTGGAAGAAATTTTGTCTTGATTTCACACTAATTGGATGATTTCCCAGTAAATTGTGTTTTTCTTCTGCAATAATCATGTGAATTTTTCAAGAATGTGTTGTGTTTTGCAGCGGTGATGACGGCAGTAAACAAGCAGCTGGAAGAAGGCCAGGCTAGCCGTCTGTTTGCCGTGGTGCACATAATGGGCAAGCAGTTCCTCGTCAAAGCAGAAGACATCGTCGTTGTAACTGGTCATTGGCCTCCCAAGCTCGGGGAGTCTATAAGATTGGAAAAGGTCAGCAACTTTGCCCCTAATTAGCGATGTCGAATTAACAATCACATAAATTATTACCCTTCAATACTTTCCTTCAATTGAGATAAATAATGTGTCACCCAAGCTTGTTTTTATGTTAGTGCGAGTGTTACAATAGTTTTTCTTCAAATATTTCATACTCTAAACAATTAAATTTTTCACTGTTTGGTTGTATAGTTAACTAAATTTCTTTTTCCAATGACTTGATTAATCAAAAATATCAAATATAGAGTTTAGTTTGAGCTCAAGTACAGCTTTTTTCTGTCCATCATACAAATATTAGAATAATTTNGTATTTTATTTTTATATCTTCCAATCTTAGAGTCTAGACCAGGGGCCTCCAAACTTTTTTCACCAAGGGCCAAGAGCAAGCTTTTTGAAACCTTCGCTGGGCGGTCACGCCCATTCACTGTTTTTAGTTCATGCGTAGCCAGAAATACACGCCACGCTAGATTTTTGTACACATCTGGTCTAGACTGTCAGTGTCTTGCTTTAACTTGTAGGTTCTGGTCATCGGCGGACGTGACTTCTCGTTGGTTGGTAGGCCGCTGCTGCCTCTCCACCAGGCGTACGTGGACGCAACTGTGGTCGAGAAGACGCTCTCACACACCAAGATCTGGTTCAAGACAATCCCCCGCGGCAATTTCAGGAGATGGAAATGTAGGTTGCCAGCTTAATTGCACATCCTTCAGTGCCGACATTTCTATTCTATCCTTCTTCATTTTGGCAACTAGCAGGCAATTATTAATATTCGCTTCAAACTAATTCTAAAGCCTTGATCATACTGATTTAATTTAAAACTTTTAAGCATTTGTAACTTGCATTTAGTTTTATAACAATTTCACAATCAACTGCCATTTCATTCATTTTCTATTAATGTCGAAATTATTATCTATTAAACGAAATTTTCATTTTT